TGAAATTTTCACTATATAACAGAAGTCTACATGCGAAGTTCTAACTTCGCATGTGGACATCTGATTTGCATATTGATATATGTGATGGGCTAGATAAAGAAGTCTACTAAGTTGGTTGTGTTCATTTTGTAAATTTTTTAATATTTCAGAAAAAAAGAAAAGGCCTATTGGAGTCGAAAGTGTAGAAACAGGATCTTCTAAGTCTTAGTAGACTGAGATACCTTTTTGTAATCCAGTTCTAATTATTTTGATGTATAGAATTTCTCAAACTAGATTAATGTATATAGATTTTAATGAAATGAAATGTCTTTGTATTATTTTTTACTATTTAGATTTTATAGTAGCTCTAGTTGTTTTAGTTGATGTTTGATTAATAATTATAGGGATTAGATTTTCAATCATTCCATTTGATCCTAAGATGTCACATATGTGGCCGGCAACCTCTTTGAAACCTTTAAGATCAACTTGAGAATATAAACGCAAATTAGATGTTATCTCAAGAAGAGAAAGCTCTGGCTCGAATGATCGTGGTGAGTCAAATTGAGGGGTCCCATAAATCAGATTCTTCATGTACTTGAGTATGGTGAGAATGGTCGCTTTAGAAGAGAGTGGGTGAAAGGGATGTGATCCAAGCATATGACGAGTGTCAAACTGCTAGTTTTGCAAAGGAATCCTCAATATCTCATGTGCAAGGTTAGTTCATGAGTGAGTTCTTCTACAAGTTCATAGTGAATTACATAAGTGGACCCCCTCTGAGAGGTGAGTTCCTATATCGTGACCCACCAGCTACCTAATAAACACCTATGAGGACATATGCAAGTATACACCTCTACCATGTTAGACTAGTCAAGACAAAACTCTCTCTAAAGAAGGCCTCAACAAATCCCACTACTCCCTCAACTTCATGGTCACTCTTAACAGGAGTGGAGTTTAGGTGTTTGGAAAGATGGGTGTGGGCAAATAAATGTGTCACTTATTAGCTTTAATACTTTTTTAGTTAAATCTACATTGCTAGCATTATAATACTTCGAGAGATAGATTAATGCTTCGCTATAGGCTTGAAAAGAGAAACATACTTTATTTTCATAATCAAACTTAGCATAGGAAATGTAAAATTCATATCAATGGATAAAATTTACATCACCTATCATTTTGAAAATGAAATTAACTAAGGATTAGCTTAGTGTGTGTTCAGATATTTTTCCCTTACTTTAGAAAACTAAAGTAATGTTTATTTTAATTCTAGGTTCTAGACTACTTATAGAGGCAAGCATCTATAGTTAATTACATCTCCGAAAAGAAAACTCTTGATTAAAGTGAGAATTATAGTTTTAATTATATAAAGATTTGATTGAAATTTGTGTTTGAAAATCTAGAGATTTATTTATATATTTTTTAAAGAAGAAACTTAGGCTTTTATAATTTAATTAGAATTTAGAGAAGAAATTGGGTGTATAATATGAACTTATATCTATTTGGAGTGGACAACCATAAGCAATTCTAAACACAATCAATTGCCTTATGAATGCAAGATATGATGATTCTATTTCTAATAGAAACAAGGATGTTTAGTTTAGAAAGTTTAATCAATACTCTTTAATATGCAACAACATCTAACTAACATCATGTATGATGTATGAAGCGATGTATAAATAAACTTTTTATTCATTTATTTGAAATGAAAAGAAAACTCATGATTAGTTCTAAAAGTAAGGTGGTCAAGATCTACCATAATAGGCTTTGATTTCTACTCATATGAATGAAGTAGGTTTTAAATATGATTGTTTACTTTAGACTTTATATCATCTCACTCTAGATCTTCTATAGAATTCTAAAAGAGAATGCTCTCAAAGGAAGATGGGTCAATGTCTTTTGGAGCCCTATGTATGTGTAAGCAAACATCTTTAAATCTCTTACAACTTTAGAATTTTATAACTCGATCTAAATATATAATCTAGTTCTTTACATTTACAATTGACTCTTTACACTTACATTTGTGCCTAGATATATTCTACTTTGCACTTGTAATAAAGTAAAGACGCCGTGAATATATAAATGTAATGTATGTGTGGGTGCAATGCTAGTATGTATAATTTAATAAATTTGAAGTGCACCAATAGAAAAATAATCATGCATGGTATGACATCTAGAATGCAAAAAGTAAATAAACGTACAAAGGATATCCTCTAGACAAAGGCAACCACATCACACTAAAAAATGCTACTGGCTTAGCCTAAGATTAGAGTTAGTTGTCCTAACAAACCATCAATAGTGTGTGAAGAATATTGTGTGGTTTTAATATATCCTAAAGGATTTTATTATTTAAGTTGTTTTGATTTGAAGTTATTTGTGAGAAGAAACCTGCACAGAAAAGTTAAAGAAGAACGAAGAAGATGAACAGTAAAATTGATATTGAAAAGCCTATCTCAGTTATCCTTTCGGTGGGCTTTTATAAGCCAATGAGGAATCATTACAGGTCGTTATGCTCAGTGTAATGGAGCAGACAGTAGTTCTGAGCAAATAACAGAGAAGTGGCTTTTGGACTTTAGCCATGTGACTTTTGGGTTTCATCATTAGCTTTACATGCCCCCGCAAATTGAGCATCTAGGGAGCTGATGCTTAATTTGTTGCGCAGAGTGATGAACCGAGTAACCGGAAGAGACTTGGTGAGAATGTCAGCGAGCTGTTCGTCGGAGGAAATATGGGATACAGTAACTGTTTGTTTTTTAATATGATCCCAGATGAAGTGATGATCTATTTCAATGTGCTTCGTCCGAGCATGGAAAACGGGATTGTGAGCAAGAGCTAGCGCCGATAGATTATCACAGAGAATCTGTGTAGGCGAAGTGAGACGAATTTGAAAGTCAGATAGGAGGCGTCGTAGCCAAATCACGTCGGATAGAGCTGAAGACAGGGCTCTATATTCAGCCTCGGTGGAGGACTTAGCCACGGTAGTTTGTTTCTTCACACTCCAGGAAACAAGGTTGGAGCCAAGGAAAGTACAAAAACCAGAGATGGACTTCCTGTCGGTTGTGTTAGCTGCCCAGTCTGCATCGCAGTAAGTTGTGAGTTCTAGTGGACCGGAAGTAATGGGAAGCCCAAGTTGTTGAGTACCCTTGATGTATCGGATTAGGCGTTTGAGCTTCAGGAAATCAGTGTAAGTAGGATTGTGCATTGATTGGCAAATTACATTAGCCGCAAATGACAGATCAGGTCTAGTAATAGTAAGATAATGCAAGGAACCGGCTAGTTGCCTGTATAATTTGGGATCATCAAAAGGTTGCAGATTGTGAGCTGCAGAAGAGCCAGAGGAAGTAATTGGAGTGCTAGCAGATTTGCAGTCTTGAAATCCCGAGGCTAGAAGAATGTCCCGTGCATAGTGAGATTGATGTAGAAAGGCTCCAGTCTTAGTATAAGAAATCTGTATCCCGAGGAAGAGATTTGCTTGACCCATTTGTCTGAGAGCAAAGGTATCACGTAAACCTTGAAGAAGAGTATGGATAGTGGCCGTATGATTGCCAGTCAGCAAGAGGTCATCAACATAAATGATAATGTATAGCTGTGTTGTGCCATGATTGTAAACCATCATAGATGGATCAGCACGACTGAAGCAGAACCCGAAGTGAACCAGATAACCGGTAAGTTTGTGAAACCACTGGCGTGGTGCCTGTTTAAGACCATAAATGGCCTTGTTGAGTTTGCAAACGTGATGGGGTCGAGTTGGATCAATGAACCCTGGTGGTTGCAGCATGTAAACTTCTTCCTTGAGGTCCCCATGAAGAAAGGCGTTGTTCACATCAAACTGAAGTAGTGGCCAGTGGCGTTGAATAGCTATGATAAGTAGGATGCGAATTGTAGGCATTTTGGCAACAGGACTAAATGTGTCTCGGTAATTGACACCATATTGCTGAGTGTAGCCTTGTGCTACAAGCCTGGCTTTATACCGATCAAGAGTGCCATCGGGTTTGGTTTTGGTCTTATAGATCCACCGACAACCAAGAATGGGAGCGTTGGGGGGAGGTGGAGTAAGAGACCACGTGTTTTGTTTGTAAAGAGCTTCTAATTCCAGCGACATTGCAGCTCTCCAATGTGGAGAAGTAGATGCAGCCTTGTAGGTAGACGGGGTGGAGGAGATATCTTCAACTGCAAGAAGATCATAAATTTGCTTGGGTTTGGAATGACCCGTTTTGGATCTGGTCTCCATATGGTGGGAGTTGATAGGTTGGAAAGGAGGGTCGGTGAGTGTGAGGAGGAGAAGGAGTTTCAAAAATGCTGGGGAGAGAAGAATCTGGAATTGGTAATTTGTTGGGAGGTGAGGGAGGTAATGTAGGAGAAGTGGATAGGTTTGATGTGGGGATGAGAAGGGATGGAGGAAGATACGTAGTGGTAGTGTCATTAGATGAGTTTGAGGAAGAGTCAGGAGAGAAGAATTGATGTTCATGAAATTTGACATGTCGGGATATGTAGAGTTTGTTGGTAGGTTGATGAAAACATCGATAGCCTTTGTGAGAAGGAGAATAGCCCAGGAAAATACACGAAAGAGAGCGCGGAGCGAGTTTGTGAGGGGAATAGGGTTGAAGCCAGGGGAAGCAGATACAACCGAAGGATTTTAAATGATCATAACTAGGAGACCGACCATGAAGAAGAGTGAAGGGAATTTTAGAGTTAAGTGCTGAAGTGGGTAGTCTGTTAATGATGTAATTGGACGTTTGAAGAGCTTCGGCCCAAAAGCGAAAAGGAAGATTAGCAGCGTGTAGAAGCGTTCGAGTTGTTTCAATAAGATGCCTGTGTTTACGCTCAGAGACGCCATTTTGCTGTGGGGTATGAGGGCAGCTGAATTGGTGGGATATTCCGTGAGTGAGAAGCAGGTCTTTGAAAGCATGACTGGTATATTCTCCTC